ATATATATATATATATACTTTACCCTGAAGGCCTCATGTCCCGTTTGCGCGATTATTCGACGAATTCCTCGCGCAATTAACTCGTCAGATATTATCACGAATTCACCAATATCTTTCACGTTAAGAACGTGTCTAAAAAAGAAAGTAGATTTAAAAGATTTTTTTAAAAACAGAAATAATTCAAATTCTAGCACAATAACAAATTAAAAATACTACCAGATTTGATAATTGAAAAAAAACGCCTTGAATTAGAAGTGGCATAGCAGAGGCAAGAGACAAAGATGGTGCATTTAAGGTGAACGACCTAGATCTGACATGGAATCACATTTACTTTTGGAGATTGGAAAAAAACTGTAGTTTTTCCGTGCAATAGCCTAAGTGAAATATGCAAATAAGTGCCAAATCGGGTACTAGTGATAAAATGTTCACCAAATGATAAAATAATCATCAAGCTATCATGCATTGATCAAGAGAAAGCCAATGAACAAAAAGTGTGCTTACGTGCCGCCACAGAACTCCACGGATGTATCGATGCCTGCAGGACCATTGGGATCAGAGATCAATGTCTCCACAGGGACACCGATCGAGACCACTCGAACAGGATCGGGATAGACCTCCCCAAAAATGGCCCTAAGACCCTGGATAGATCGGGCCACCGAAAGTGGCGTATCTTTTACGTAGACCGGAAGCGATGAGTTGATCATTTCCTGGGAAATTGATTCCACTCGCTTCAGTTCTGAGGCTGTCAAGCCAAGCTGATGCACAATTCAGGAGACATTTTTTTAGAATATGGATGGGCACGTAACGTATGATACTAAACTAGAGATTATAGTATAATCGATAAGCCCAATATTGGGTTCACAGTTATTTGGTAAGTTGGGCTGTTGAGCTTTTTTCGAACAAAAAAAACGAGTCCCTATTTGACCGTTTTCTTATAGTAATTAGTATTACATAATTTCGTCTTAAAGATTTTCTTTGTAAAGCTAATCGTAAAATATAAG